ATCTCCTTGTATATATGCTATGGCTATTTTCTTTCTTTTTTTTAAATCTTCACCTAAGGATATTTTCCCATTGATTTTTAGGTAGAGTGGAAGAGAGAGGGCAAGAGGAAGACAAATATCAATGTGAGAGACACACATTGGTTGCCTCCTGCATTTTGTTCATGCATAATTTTCTTGACATTCTCTCTTTTTTTTTTTGCTTTTTGTGCATTTTAACACAGTTTTAAAGTCTTTGTCTAGTAAATCTACGATCAGGTCTTTTTCAGAGACAGTTTCTGTTTATTTTTTCTTTTGAATGGGCCATACTTTACTATTTTTTGTATGCCTTGTAATTCTTATGTTGAAAACTCAATATTTGAATCAAATAATGTAGTAACCCTGGAAATCAGATCCTGTCCCTTCCCTAGAGTTTGATGTTTTATTGTCTTTTGTTATTTTCTTGTTGTAGGCTGTCTCTGTGCCCAGAAACAGCAACATCCCTTCCATCAAACTCTCTCTCAATTCTGACACCCTCATGTCTTCCATCTTATCAAAAATGCCCGAAGATGCCCTAGCTGGTTTGGCTCAGTGGATAAAGCGTTGGCCTGCAGACCAAAGGTCCTGGGTTCAACTCTGGTCAAAGACATATACTTTAGTTGCAGGGCCCTGGTCAGGGCTCATGCAGGGGGCAACCAATCAATGTGTTTCTTTCACATCGATGTTTCTCTCTCTCTTTCCCGCTCTCTTCCACTCTCCAAAGCCAGTATGTGAGCCATCTTCATGCAGAATAGAGGCAGAGAGGAAATTTTATGTTTGGAGGTGAGTGGAGAGGCTTTATTGGACATTTGAGAGTTCTACACATATTATTTCCCAGAACATCTTAAAAAAAAAGGGAACTCCTGCACATCTCCCACTGGGGATGTGCCCACAACCCAGGTACATGCCCTTGACCGGAATCGAACCTGGGACCTTTTAGTCCGCAGGCCGACGCTCTATCCACTGAGCCAAACCGGTTTCGGCAGAACATCTTACTTTAAAAGCTGTACCCAATACTCTGACACTCCATGTTGAGAGGTGCTATGCATAAGTGAATCTGAAAATATATATAGAAGATGATGTCACAGGGGCATGCCTTCCATAAAAGTTACCATTATCCAGAGCTAAATACTGTAGATTAAAACTTCTCCTGCTCTGCCTTCAGTTGCTGAAAGTCCATTTTAAAAGAAGATAGATGAGCCCTAACCAGTTTGGCTCAGTGGATGGAGCATCGGCCTGTGGACTGAGGGGTCACAAGTTTGATTCTGGCCAAGGGCATGTGCCTTGGTTGCAGGCACATCCCCAGTGGGAGGTGTGCAGGAGGCAGGTGATCAATGTTCCTCTCTCATCGATGTTTCTAACTCTCTATCCCCTCTCCCTTCCTCTCTGTAAAAAACCAATAAAATATATAAAAATAAAAGAAGATAGATGGAAACCATATTGCTTCCATATTTACTAGGAACATTTGGGTTCTGGTCTTAGCAGTGGTTGTACAGTCACTGTCACCTCAGGTTATCTGGCACAATGAGATGTCCCACATCCATCTTCCACTAGATTCCTCAGAACTGTGAATGGAGGTGAGGTTTTCTTGTCTGATATCCTGTGTGCACTTCACAGATGGGTAAAGTGAGACACTGAAAGGCTGAGTTAGAGCTCCTGCTTCCTATGCTGTCATGCCTGTTTAGGCAAACTTGAGCATTTTTAGTGAAAGAAGCTGCATACAGGCTGCTTCTTGGATGTTTCTAGAGATGGGTCCTGAGGCATTCAGAGCATCCATGATCTAGAGGAATGGAACAGTGTCTCCCATTTGCTGTGCCCTGCAGACACAGAGTAACCCTTGGCATTCTGCTTTGCCAAAATCTTGGAAGGAGATGGACCAATTTTTATAGTTCCTGTTCTAGCAGAGAAAGAAGCAAGGCCCCAACCCTGTTTTACTAAGATCCAAAGTTTGGATGCACAGGTGGTCCTAAGATTTCCAACTGGCCCTTTGGTATCACTCTTCAGGAAGTATATGTGGTGGGACTTTTGGTTGCTATCTGAAGGCCCACATGTAGATCACCAGCTTATTTTAAAACAATATAACTCGAGCATAGCCAGGTGGAAGGGCTACATGGGGTGAGGTGTTGGGAAAAAACCCAGAGCTCCCATGTCCTCCAAGCGTGCCACACCCCAAGTCTCCACATGCCTACCAACCTGGAAGCTCCTTGAATGTGCTTGAAGTAACTAAAGTTCTAATTCCTTTTAGTGAAGTTGGAAGCATTCTTTGTATTTGGGAAGTCTGGTGTTTAGTTTTGTTTCTTTTTATATCAAAGATGAAATTAATCCTTAAAGATGTGCAAAGTGCTGCATTCCAGTTGCTAATGCAGATCCTATTAGTGTTATTTTTTTACCTAAATGGAATTGGTCCATGTCCACATGGCAACACCTTCCACCACTTTCAGGAAATGCAGGGAGGAGTCAATGTGACCAAACTACCCCTCCCTCGTGAACAGGGCTCCAGTAGAAACGCTCTGAGAACCCACCAGTGGAAAACACCAGCCAGGTTCACATTTAGTCTCCCTTTCTTGACACAACCTTAATTCATTGCATTATTGGTCCAAGTACCATCTCTTCTCATTCCTGGCCCGTTTATTTTTGTTCTACTTAATACTATTATGTGGTGTTTTATCCATCCTTACAAATAGTCTTAAATCCTTCCTGTATGGAATATAAACAAAATTTCCTGGGTCTAAAAAAAATATCAGCCCTGACCGGTTTGGCTCAGTGGATAGAGCGTCGGCCTGCGGACTGAAAGGTCCCGGGTTCGATTCCAGTCAAGGGCAAGTACCTTGGTTGCGGGCACATCCCCAGTGGGGTGTGTGCAGGAGGCAGCTGACCAATGTTTCTCTCCCATCGATGTTTCTAACTCTCTATCCCTCTCCCTTCCTCTCTGTAAAAAATTAATAAAATATATTAAAAAAATCATTCTTGCCATTTGTCTTTTTTTTTTTTTAATATTTTATTGATTTTTTACAGAGAGGAAGGGAGAGAGATAGTTAGAAACATCGATGAGAGAGAAACATCGATCAGCCGCCTCCTGCACATCTCCCACTGGGGATGTGCCCGCAACCCAGGTACATGCCCTTGACCGGAATCGAACCCGGGACCTTTCAGTCCGCAGGCCGACGCTCTATCCACTGAGCCAAACCGGTTTCGGCCATTCTTGCCATTTGTTACCTTTATACGGAGCTTGGCTCTGGAGCACAGATGGAAAGAAAAAAGAACAAGCAGCATATTGTACCAGCATCTCCTACAATCCCCATTTCTTTGATACATGGAAGACATGGCACGCCTGCATTTGGTGTGTACTGACATCACAACTCAAGAGCCTTGCCACCACACTCATCCCTTGGCACTTGAGATCTGGGTACCTTCTGCAGTGTTGATACAGAATTAGTGGTCAGTAGAGCAGGCTTCTCAGTGCTGTGGGTCTAGTATTGATCAGGTCTTTCCAACCACTTCTTTTATCTAGCTCTTACACTCCCAGGCCAATATTTCCTCTGCCCTTTATCACCCCAGGACCAGGTACTGGGCAAGCAGAAACTACCCTTGCAGCCCAGAGTCTGCTGAAATTATTCCAACCATCCAATCCTAATCCTGCTCAAACTTATCTACTATGCCTTGCCCATTCCTTTCTGGAGAAACCACAGCATAGGCTCTGGACAATGCTCCCCGTCTCTCCACCCCAATTTGTTCTGCCTCCTGACCTACCTTACACTTCCTGGTGGTCCTGCACAGTGTGGTTCCTTCTCTTAGAAGCTGCAAGTACCAAATATTTCATTCAAGGCAGTTGTCTCCAAGTCTGTCATCTTCACACACCTGATTAGAACAAATCCCTCGTACATTTTAACACAGGTTCAACCCCCTTCTTCAGTCAGGAGAGAAGCAACCTGTACTCCGAGGAAATGGCTCCCCACACAAGGATACACACATCCTTTGAAGGCGAATGGGATCACACATGTGCTACCCAAATATCAACATGCCTAGAGCACCTGCAGGGGTCTGCCTGTGTCCTATAATCCAGTTCCTTCAGTCGGGCCATTGTGCTGGCAAAGGCAGAGCTGCTTGGTGCCATGTCCCGGCTGGGGCACTGCATCTGGTCCCAGATGCCTATGCAGGAAACAGCGTTGGGGGCTTGCCAGCAATGCAGAGATGAGAGCAACATCTCCTTCCTGAAACACTTTGCAAAAATGGAAATTATGTTCCAAGTTCTCTGTGCTTTATCTTAACAGTGCACCTGTCTCTGATTACCTAAATGATTACCTAAAAATCATTTTACTTTCCCCAACAGCTCCTTACTCGTGCCTGAACAATACTCGTCTGACCTCTTTTCTTTCTCTGAAAGGCACATCACAGCCATCTTACACTTAGGAAAACCAGACAGCACTTTACCACCCTGCTTGGGGCCATTTTTAAACAGTGAAGTCGCCATCAAAGACAAAATCGTGGAAAATGTGGCACTAAGTGAACCTCGAAAAGCAGTTGTTTACAGTATGAGAGGAAACAAGAAGGTAGAGCTTTGCCTGGTCTGAACTTAACTAAGATGTGTGCACTGCATGATTCCAATTTTCATCTCTCTGGGCATATCTAAGAATGACTGTGAAAATGCCCCAAGTACTGATTTTGGGGTTACAAAGAAATTTTAGTGAACCCTGGCCAGTGTGGCTCAAATGTTGGATGTTATCCCATGCACTAAAAGGTTGCCAGTTTGATTCCTGGTCAGGGCACATACCTGGGTTGCAGGCTCAATCCCGGTCTGGGGTGTGCGGAGGCAGCCAATCAATGTTGCACTCTTACATCAATGTTTCTCTCTCTCTCTCTCTTTTTTTTTTCTTCCCTCTCCCCCTTCCTCTCTGAAAATTAATTTAAAATCTTTAAAAAAAGAAATTTTAATGAGTAGGCAAACCCAAAAATATGGAGTCCGCAAATAATGAGGATCAACCTTATTGTCATCAATCTAAAAGGTTTTTATGCACTTTCCACAGACCATCTTACTTTCCACAGTACCAGTAATAGCAGGGCTGAGAGAGATAACTGGTGTAACTCAGCTGCACATCCTACAAAGGCTTTCCTGTGAAAAACTAGAAATGACTGCTTCTCAAAGCAGAATTTCCATCAGATGCAGAGTTGAAGCCTCACACCCACACACTTTGTGATCATTAACAGTCACCTCAGTCCTTTCTGTCACCTCCTCTCTCTGCCTTCAGTTCCTGCTCTGCTTCTCGGAGCTCCCACTCCTGTACTGGGGTGAACTCCTCCTGAAGGCCCCCATCATCGTCCAGGTCGTCTTCACTCACCAACCCCCATGGATAGTTCTTGGGGGAGAGATCATCGTCCACACGAGGTTTGCCCTTCTTCCTCCTTGTCATTTGCCTTGTCAGCTCAGCCACCTGCTCTGGCCCCAGCCATGCTGGGCCCTCGCCCCTGTGTCCTTTCTCTTTCCTCTTCTTGTACTCCATGATCTGCTTGTTGAGAGCCTCATGATCAATCCCATACAGACTCGAGTGCACAGCAGGGCCCAGGGCGTCACATGGCGATGGAGCATCTGGGGCCTCAGGGTCCCTGGAAGGGAGAAGCACAGATGAAGCACCAGAGCAACTTCATGGGAGCTCCTGGGCTAGTGCTTCACCGCCCCACACCCATGGCCTCTAAACTGTCCTAAGGTCTACCTAATGGAAACTGTGGAGGATAGGACAGTGAGTTTTGGTTTTGGCACTCTCCAGCCCAGGACCACTCAACCAGCACTCTTGGTGCTTGTGTGTGGCACAGGCCTTGACAATTCTGATGCAGCCATTTGCATGGACATTAGACACATTTTCATCCCCCCTCCCCCCAATTAAACATGCCCAGCACACTAGGCCATATTTGGGGCCATTTCTTGATGCAAACTTAGTTCATTCTATTATTTGTACAGTGGCACCTCGGCCTCACCAGGTGCCACCAGAGCTGCTGCAGGCCACTCACACCTTGCATCTGCCCAAGAACTGAGCACACGTCCACATGTATCACCTGAAGTCACTTTGTGTGAGGTCTTCTTGTTCATCAGGGGGTCCAAAATCAGCAACTGCCAGTAACCGATCCACCTGGAAAAGAACAGAAGGCAGTTCAGTAACCACACCCGCAGTGCTGCGTCAGAGCTGCGTGCACCCTGCACTGGGCCATAGGCCTTCTGGGTGCACTTTACGTCACTTCTTCCAGCAATACTTTCCCAAAGACGAGACCATACAATAGCCAGTGCTTTCAAACACCTATTATTTTAACAATCACGTTTTCTTTGATGATGAACAGTTTTTAAAAACCACTGAAATTTGTAAATGTTAGTAAAATTTACTAACAACAATTGGATATTAATTGAATTATGTAAGTAACATTTACTGTTCTGTAAAATGCTTGTTTTGCCACAGGATTTGTGCTTGGGGAAAAGGCCGGCCAGCACCAAGTCAGGCCTCCTGGGGCAGTGTCTGCTCGAGTGCAAGCCCAGACAGCCCATCCCTCTGCAGCAACAGGAAGCAGTGTCACCCAGGGACGCCGATAAAAATTATAAATGTGCAAAGCAGCAGTACCAGGAGTTAAATTAGTGCACAGAAAACACCAGAAATAAGATTGACACAACAAAGACAAACTGGGAGAAAAGAGTCCCAACACACGCTCTGACAGGACTTGGACCAGACATATAACTAATCTGTACAACCTGAAGATAAGCAGAAATAAAAACAAGCAGGACTGGCCCTGGCCAGTGTGGCTCAGTTGGTTAAGCATCATCCCATGCACCAAAAGGCCACTGGTTCAATTCCTGGTCAGGACACATGCCTGGGTTGTGGGCTGATCCCCGGTCAGGGTATGTATGGAAGGCAACTGGTTGATGTTTCTCTGTCTCTCCCCCTCTCCCCCTCCTTTTCTCTCCTCTCTCTCTCTCTCTCTCTCTCTCTCTCTCTCTCTGAAGTCAATAAGAACATATCCTTGAGTGAGGATTAATAATAATCTATCTATATAAAAGCCTAAGTGACCATTCGACCAGTAGCTATGATGCGCAATGTCCACCAGGGGGCAGACGCTCAATGCACAAGCATGGAAACATGGGACAGACTGATGAATCTCAGGGGGGAGGGAGGAGGGGAGAGGGGGGAAGAGATTAACCAAAGATCTTATATGTATACTAGAAGCCTAGTGCACAGATTCATACACCTGTGGGGTCCCTTGGCCTGGCTGGCGCCCTCCCGCAATTTGGGACCCCTCGGGGGATGTCAGACTGCTGGTTTCAGCCTGATCCCCACAAGCCAGGCCAAGGGACTCCACCAGTGCATGAATCCGCAACAGTGATAATAACCATAGGTGGATTGCAATCCAGGAAATGAGAGAAAACGGTAAGCACAGGGGGGTAGCTCTGGCTGCCTCAAGTTTATAAACCAAGAACTGGAGATTTGGTTCACTAGTTGAGTTACAGAGATAAGCATTAAAAAATATTAAAGCCCAGGCCAGGCTGGTGTGGCTCAGTGGTTGAGCATCAGCCTATGAACCAGGAGGTCACGGTTCCATTCCTGGTCAGGGCACATGCCTGGATTATAGGCTCGATCCCCAGTAGGGGCAGTGCAAGAGGCAGCTGATCAATGGTTCTCTCTCATCGTTTGTGTTTCTATTCCTCTCTCCCTTTCCCTTCCTCTCTGAAATCAATAAAAACATATTTAAAAAAAATTAAAGCCCTAGCTGGGTGGCTCAGTTAATTGAAGTGTCATCCCGTATACTGAAAGGCTGCGGGTTCAATTCCCAGTCAGAGTGTGTACAGGAGGCAACAGATCGATGTTTATGTCACATCGATGTTTTATCTTTCCCTTCCTCTCTCTCTGAAATCAATAAGAACATATCCTGGGGTGAGTATTAAAAAGAAAAAAATTAGAACCAGAAAATAAGGTTACATCTGGTGACTCAGGCTGGGAATGAGCATGGGAGTTTGTCTTTTCATTTGTACCCTTTCAAGTATTGCTTTGGTAAACGGTAAGCATTACCTTTTTAGAAACCTCACCTATGTAAAAGTTTACTTCATAAAGGCCTCACCTCAGCTAGAGCTGCATGCTGTTTGTCCTGAACAAACACAATTGGTGGCATGTTCTTCAGAGTCTGCTGGGACAGCAAAAGATGCCTGGAGAGAGACAATGCAGATTAGTGCTGCGGCAGGTGACATTTACAGGAGAGTGTGAGAGTGCCAGAAACAAAAATACGTGATAATCTCACAAAGACTTAAGATATAAGATTTGCTTATCACATTATTCAAGAATGAAAATGTCAGCCTAGAAAGGTCTTTAGCCAACTGCACATTACAAAAGGGATAACAAATGCATCATCACCACAACTGTTTTTAATTCTCTAAATGCAATTATTTATTGAGATCCCTGTAAATAAACTGACCTAAACTTAGAGGCCCTCGCCCTAGCGGTTTGGCTCAGTGGATAGAACGTCGGCTTGCAGAACAAAGGGTCCCGGATTTGAATCCAGTCAAGGGCACATACCTTGGCCGCAGGTTCCTCCCCAGCCCAAGCCCTGACCAGGGCCCGTGCAGGAGGCAACCAATTGATGTGTTTCTCTCACATCAAATGTTTCTCTCTGTCTTTCCCTCTCAATTCCACTCTTTCTAAAAAAATCAATGGAAAAATATCCTTGGGTGAAAACTATAACAAAAATATAATACACCTAGATACCCTCCTGGGCTTCACTTTGGCCTTGGCCTCCATGGTTGGTCACTAACCACCCATCAATGTTTCATCCTCTATCCAATGGACATGCATTGGCAACGACACCAACACAGTCCCCAACCACCCAGATGTCACACAGACGTGATCGCTGTATTATTCAGTCATGCAACAAGCTGATAAAAGGTAAATAAGGGTGCAAGTATCCAGTGAAAATGTGGCTGTGACGTAAAGTGTATTTACTCAGTGACAGCAGATCTAGGTACACAGTTATGAAAAAACCTTTACACTAAACCCTGGCTGATCAGAGTTGGGAAAACATTATGCTTAATTAAATTTTCTAACTACCTAAAAATTAATTAGAAAACAATACTGTTATCTCAACACTTGTTGGAAATTTCTCACTTTCTTGTTTCTGTTAAATGTAAAAATCAAATTAACTGACCATTCTTTAGTACACACCTTTAGAGACTCTTAGGGATCACTGTGACAGGTGACAGTGATCAGCATGCAAGAGAGCTAGCTACACAGATGATGTGAAAATACCAGCTCCTTGTACAACTCTGACTTCTCAACATCTGCCTCCTTCTCCTGGCAATGCAGGATGCTGTATGGTGAGAGGTGAGAGCCACAGAGAAAGCAGGGGGAAGCAGGAAGGAGGGATTCCAATTCTGAGTGCTGGTTGGGTTTCTGGACTTTTTATAAGCCTGAGGAGAAAACTGAATAACTTCTTTACTACCACCCAGCTCACCAGTTCTCAAAACTTCAGGATTCCTTTACACTAAAAACATTACTGAGGACCCCAAAGATCTTTTGTTTATATGGGTTATATTCATCAATACTTACCATACTTGGAATTAAAATAAAAAATGTAAAAATATGTATTTATTAATTCATTTAAAGTAAACCCACTAGGCCCCTGACGAGTTTGGTTAGAGTCATCTGGTAAGTCATGCAGGTTCGATCCCTGGTCAGGGCACATACAAGAATCAACCAATGAATGCATAAGTGGGACAACAAATCGATGTTTCTCTCTTTCTCTTTCTCTCCCTCTCTCTCAAAAGCAATAAATAAATTAAAAATAAAGTAAACCCACCAAACATTCACATAGACATTTTTAATGGGCAATAACTGTTATTTTCCAAAAATAATTACTGAAAAGAGTGGCAATGTATTACAGTGGCAAATTTCTTTAATGCCCCGCTTAATGAAAAAACAGTTGGATTCTCATATGTGCATCTGCATTCAATCTGTTCTGCTGTTATTTTGGTTGAAATATAAGAAGAAAATCTGGCCCCGCATAGATTTGTTACTGAAAAATGGAGGACTATATGAACACCCTTAAGAAAAAGGTGGATCTTTTTGATACTAAACAAAAACTCAACACATGATCGTTTTTTAAAGGTCAGTTGCAATGTGGACTCTGAAACCAATGAACGTGCCTCACTGTCACACCAAACTCCCTGGTCTCCCTGGGACTCTGACATTTCCCTACGCGTGGTTCTGTAACCTCCACACACTGGCCATCTGGAAACACGGGGTCAGCAAGTGAAGCAGATTTTTGGAAGGTTGACTGACACATTTCACCACACAACACTGCCTTGGTTGGCATCACCACCAATCTCATCAGTACTTAACAGTATTTATTGGAAAGCTGTCAAACTCGCTGCGGTAGTTATGCTTTCTAAAATTCTGATTTTTACTTCAAAGCCTGAATTTTATCATTGGCAACAGGTATGGTCAGTTGATTTCCCTGAAGTGACAGGTTCATTTGGCCCGTGTGCAGAAAGTGTCTGTTAAATACCCAAATCTCAAAAACTGTAGTTGGTTCTCTTACTCCGTCAAGTGAAAAAGTGTCTATTTCATCACCTGCAGCATTCTTCCTAGGGACAGCCACCCTACCTCAGCACACAGCAGGGGCTCCACACATACTTCCCACCACATACAATACTAAAAAGACAAGTATTCTTGCCCACTCAATGTGGCTCAGCGGTCGACTCATGCACCAAGAGGTCACCATTTGATTCCCAATCAGGGCACATGCCCAGGTTGCGGGCTTGATCCCCAATCAATGTTAAAGTTTCTCTCTCATCAATGTTTCTTTCTATCTCTCTCCCTCTTCCCTCCTCTCTCTAAAATCAGTAAAAAAAAAAAAAAAAATTAAAAAAAAAAAGACATGCACCCAAGGGTCAAAATTTAATAATATTAGTAACTTTTACTTACCCATCAAGGATATTCCCTTTTTTCTTTCTTTTTTAAAAATCCTCATCCAAGGATGTTTTTCCATTGATTTTTAGAGAGAGTGGAAGGGAGAGGGGAAGACAGAGAGAGAAACATCGATGTTTCACTGATTGGTTGCCTCCTGCACGCACTCCAGCCAGATCGAGCTTGCAACCAAGGCATGTGCCCTTGACTGGAATTGAACCCAGGACCCTTTAGCCTACAGGTTAGCACTCATGTGAGCATGTGGCATAAAGCTATGATGACTACAGGTCCTCTGGTGGCTTCAGTGCAAATGTCCACACAGTGAAAAAAGAAAATAACATCTTATTATGAAAACAGCTTTAACCTCATGAACCCCCCCAAAATATACTGGGGCCCCCTAGGGATCGAGGACCACACACTGAGAAACACTTGCCTAGATTATGGCTTAAATGAAAATGTAAATTATACTCTGAAGTTCAAGACAATGCTGCCAGCCCTGACTGGGTAGCGGTGAGTTGGAACATCATCCATACACCGAAAGGTTACGGGTTCAATTCCCGGTCAGGGCACCTACCTAGGTTGCAGGCTAGGTCTCCAGTCGGGGTGTGCACACCTGAGAGATCGATATTTCTCTTTCTCTCTCTCTAAAATAAGTAAATAAATAAAAACCACCAACAAATCCTCGGGTGAGGAAATTAATAAATAAAAAAAGAAAATGCTTCCAAAATTTCCCTCAAAAGCAAAAATACATCATGAAACGGGCTGGTAAATTCCAGGTGCTGCAAAAGCAAACACACCTGGCAAGCAAAGCATCCTCACCTCATATGTGCTGAGAATCGCTTGAGGGTGTCCTGGGTGTGTGCATTCTGCTCAGCAGAGCCAGTCGTCCTCCAGTACACACGGCAGGCAGAGAAGTCTGAGGTCAAAGACACCTGACACCCCCCCACCCCCAGCAAATCCCTTTCAGTTTAAGTGGGTTTTCCACAAACAATGCACAGGAGATGGAAATTAATGAGACAGCATGTCCACCTCCTGAGATGCTAGTGCTCTAGCTGCACTATGACAAGCCACCCTCTCCTGCACACACTCTCAGCTGAGGAAGCGGGGCCAGAAACCGAACCCTCACCTCCCCAACCCCAACCCTACAGCACTCACTGAAAATACCTGAACTGCCACTATTCTCCTCACTACTTCCCTTTGGCTAAACTCACTCTGAGTCAGCGGTTCTCAACCTGTGGGTCACGACCCCTTTGACGGTCAAACGACCCTTCTACAAGGGTCGCCTAAGACCATCCTGCATATCAGATATTTACATTGTGATTCATAACAGTAGCAACATTACAGTTATGAAGTAGCAACGAAAATAATTTTATGGGTGGGTCACAACATGAGGAACTGTATTTAAAGGGCCAGAAGGTTGAGAACCACTGCTCTAAGTGGACAGATGGCAGAAAGTCACCTCCTTCTACTTTATTCCAAGACAAAGGCAGACATATCAACTTCTCATCTGACCCACAGGTCTTCAACTGCTCCATGTCATCACACTTTCTGGGCGTCTGATCACACACTTAGTGCTATCTGGTCGGATACCTCCTTTCCCTGATTTCGTACCACAATCATCCCTTCTATCTGTCTTCAGTACTTAAATGGCCACCCTTAGCATCACTTCCACAACCCAAACTAAAGACCTTGTGAGTGACCTGGTGCCTTTTTCCTAACGGTTAGGCCAGCAATCCTCAGTCCCATTTCTGTTTGGCCCCTGCAGTCTACCTTGGACAGCTCCACATTCAGGTCGTAGATCTCTTGGCTCACTTCGGGGCTGCACAGCAAATCGCTGAGCGCTTTGTAGAGGAGGCCATTCAGGGCCCTCAGGCGCACGTGGTCTTCCTTCCTGGTTTTCTTTGAGGTGCTCTTTGTTAGGAGTTCCAACTTGGATGGCTTGTAAGTCTGCATTAAGAAGAATAGACACAAAGACTAATATTAGATTATACATTAAACTTGTGCTAACTTACAATAAAGGCAGCTGGGAAGAATTTGAACACCTTGATAAACAAGAAACAAATGTTACACTCAACCACCTTAGCTTTAAGATAAGTTTATTTTACAGAGCTGGATTCTTCCAGATTTTACCTAGCATTCCTCCAAGATAAAAATTACTGCCCGGCTCAGTGGTTGAGTGTCGACCTATGAACCAGGTCAGGGTTCAATGCCCAGTCAGGGCACATGCCTGAACTTGATCCCCCTGGTCCCCCAGTGTGAGGCGTGTAGGAGGCAGCCGATCAATGATTCTCTCTCATCATTGATGTTTCTATCTCTCTCTCCCTTTCCCTTCCTCTCTGAAATCAATAAAAATATATTTTAAAGAAAAAATTACTGCCCTGGCTGGTTTGGCTCAGTGGCTAGAGCATTGGCCTGAGGACTGAAGGATCCTGGGTTCAATTCCAGTCAAGGGCACATGCCCATGTTTCAGGTTCGATCCCAAGCAGGGGGCATGCAGGAAGCAGCCCGTCAGATTCTTTCTCATTGTTAATGTTTCTATTTCTCTCTCCCTCTCCCTTCCTCTCTGAAATCAATAAAAATATATTTTTAAAAAATTACTGCCAGTACATTTCAAGAAAAATTTTTACTGAAATATAATCCACACATAAAATGCTCCCTCTTAACATGTACAATTCAATGGTTTTTAGTATACACAGTTTATTTTTTATCAGTGTCCCCAGAGTCATTAATTACATAAACTTGTGCAATATATCTATATGTATGTGTGTTTTATACACACACATTAAAAACTGAATGGCCCTAGCCCAGGGGTGGGCAAACTTTTTGACTCGAGGGCCACAATGGGTTCTTAAACTGGACCGGAGGGCCGGAACAAAAGCATGGATGGAGTGTTTGTGTGAACTAATATACATTCAAAGTAAACATCATTACATAAAAGGGTACGGTCTTTTTTTTTTTTTTTTTTTTTTTTTAGTTTTATTCATTTCAAACAGGCCGGATCCAGCCCGTGGGCCGTAGTTTGCCCACGGCTGCCCTAGCCAGTTTGGCTCAGTGGGTAGAGTGTCAGCCTGTGGACTGAAGGGTCCCAGGTTCGATTCTGGTCAAGAGCACATACCCCGGCCCCTGCTGGCCAAAAAGTGGGTCTCATTGCCACTCGCCAGACTGGGCATCTACAGGGAACCAAGACTGTACAGGAGAAAGAGAACTAGGGCTGGGGGCTCAATAAAGTTTGTTTTCCTGTCAAATAAAAAAAAAGAGCACATGCCCCGGTTGTGGGCTTGGTCCCCAGTGGGGACGTGCAAGAGGCAGCTGATCAACGATTCTCTCTCATCCCTGATGTTTCTATCTCCCGCTCCCTCTCCCTTCCTGTCTGAAATCAATAAAAATATATTTAAAAAATAAAATAAAATAAAAACTGAATGGACATTACTATGTCAGAATTTGATTACAGATATGACATTCTGGAAAACTTTCATGTCAGTAATTTTTTTTGAAGGTCCAAATTCCATATTACCAATTCAACCAGTCCCACCCCTGTAGACCCTGTCCTTCCAACATGGAAATGGAAGAAATGCCAGGCTGGAGCCTTGCGACTTCTGGAACCTCATGCCCATCAAGGCTGTGAAGGTGCTCATTGCTGCTACTCTACTTACCAAGTGAGAGCCCAGGGAAGGGCCTTCATACCAAAACTTCTTTCTATGGCGAGAAAATAAGAATTATGTTAGACACTGATAGTAAATTAGAGAAAAGTTACATATGCTAACTTGAGCTTATGATACCAGAACTATTTCTAAGGAGCTAAACTTAGACACTGATATTATGAGACTGGGAATCTACTGAATTGACAACAACATGAGCTGCGGGGGAGAGAGAGAAGACAGTTTCAATTCAACCTCATAATTTTTTTGTAATGTTTTTACTGATTTTAAAGAGAAAGGAATGGAGAGGACTATAAAGAAACATCGATGAGAGAGAGAGATAATTCAGCTGCCTCCTGCATGCCCCTCACTAGAGATTAAGCCCACAACCTGGGCATATATCCTGACCAAGAATGGAACCAGGATCTCTTGGTTCATGGGTTGGAAGCTCAACCACTGAACCACATCGGCTGGGCTCAACCTCATAATTTTTACTCACAGTCTACTTCTAGTTCCAAAGGTAGAGAAAGAGGGTCTTAACAATACATCTCCCCAAATGCACGGGAGCACTACACTCTACCTGATAAAGCTACCTCCAAGAGGTATAGATGAATGACTGGGGTTGAAAAACTAAGTAAACAGGTGCTTCTCAGTGGTGCAGGGGGAGGTTCCAGATGAGCAAGGAAAGGAAACTACAATGGTCCATGTGATAGTGAGTTAGAGTTGGAGATTTATATGAACTCAAGTTCCACTTACAAAAGATTCAGATGGTGACACAGCAATGTTTACAGATGGTATATATACATTAGTTAACATAAACTCCTATTTTTTAAAAATATATTTTATTGATTTTACAGAGAGGAAGGGAGAAGGATAGAGAGTTAGAAACATCAATGAGAGAGAAACATCCACCAAGGTACATGCCCTTGACCAGAATCGAACCTGGGACCCTTCAGGCCGCAGGCCAACGCTCTATCCACTGAGCCAAACCAGCTAGGGCAAACTCCTATTTTTTTTGCTTTGTCAACTGAAAGGGCCTAAAAGACTGACACCCCAAAAGAAATGAACATACTCAGCTCTCAGATCATGGCTTCTAAGGTCATTCTCCATCAAGAGGAACCAGAACTCCTTGGAGAAATGGCTGATTCTAGAACTCAGGCTTCCTATAGTGCCACAAAGTAAGGATGTGCTAAAAATAACCCTGATCGGTATCTCAGTGGTTAGAGCATTGGCTGGCAGACCTAAGGGTTGCCATTTGAATTCCTGGTCAAGGGCATGTACCTGGGTTGTAGGACCGATCACCAGCCCATGTGGGAGGCAAACAACCGATGAGTCCCTCTCACATCGATATTTCTCTCCCTCTACCTCTTCCCCATCCTCCCTCCCTTCTACTCTCTCTAAAAGTCAATGGAAGAAATGTCCTCGAGTGAGGATTACCAAAACCAAAAAGAATAAAATCCTGTATAATAAAAGGCTAATATGCAAACTGTCCCCCTGGGTGGGAGTTTGGCTGACCACCAGGGAGTGGCAGTGGCAGGCAGCCAAGGGAAGGGAGGCCCCAGCTGGCAGCTGCTAGGACCCTACCCATGCATGAATTTCATGCATTAGGCCTCTAGTATGAAAATAAAAAATGTAAAAGCCATCACAAACCCCATAATGGTTATTATACCCAGAGGGATATAGGATCCAACTGAAAGAACTTCCAATGGTCAAACTGGAACAAGCTGAGCAAAACAAAGGAGTACTGGATTATAACCTACTAGAGGCCCGATGCATGAAATTCGTGCACTTGGGAGGGGGGTCCCTCAGCCAGGCCTGAGCCCTCAGGGGATGTCCAGGAGCCCTCGGGGGGATGTCCGACTGCTGGCTTAGGGGAGCAAGCCTAAGCCGGCAGTCAGACATCCTTAGCACTGCCGCAGAGGTGGGAGAGGCTCCCGCCACTGCTGCTGCACTCAACACCTGTGAGCCCAGCTTCTGGCTGAGCGGCGTTCCCCCTGTGGGAACACACTGACCAGCAATCCTCATTGACCAGCTCCTGCATTGAGCGTCTGCCCCCTGGTGATCAGTGCACATCATAGCAACCAGTCATTCTGCTATTTTGTCAATTTGCATATTAGCCTTTTATTATATAGGATGAGCCCGTACTAACAGGATTCATAAATGTGGAAGAGACACATCACCCATGCAGAATTCCAAATAATTCATGAGCATAACTCCCACTCACGAGTGGGCTGCACATAGTGACTTTCCCCTAAAGACAACAGTATAGAATGGTTGGTAAGTACCCTTATAGTGGATACACCTGATAGAACAAGCTCAGTCAGTGATCAAAGCTAACATCAACAGTGATAAACCACGTGACAGCATGTGCCCCAGACAGGATGTTATGTAAATGGCAGTTAACCTCTATGGTCTTCCTCCCAAAAACCTATAACCCCAATGTATAACCATGAGAAAGACATCACACAAACCACAACAGAGAGGCATCCTACAAATATCTAACCAGTATTTCTTAAAACTGTCAAGGTCTTCAAAAACAGGGGCAGTTTGCCACAGTTAAGAGATGACAAAAAAAAAGAGAGAGAGAGATGACAATGACCACGTTACCTGGTCCCTGAATGGGATACTGGAACAGAAAAAGGACACTAGATAAAACCGAAGGAAATGTAAATAATACATGGACTTTAGTTAATAACAACATGTCAATATTGGTTCATTAATTATAACAAATGTATCAGACTAATAATGTAAGAAGTTAATACAAGGGTATGGTTTTATGGAAACTCTGTGCCATCTTTGCCAAATTTTCCATAAATCTAAAACTTTTCAAAAGTAGCCTATTAAAACAAAAAAAAATATCTACCACATATGTCTACAAAAGTGGCATAGGTATTAACATATTTCATTATCTCTATCTATTACCATAAAAATCTATCCTGACAAACTTTCAAATTTATTTCTCAAATTAAGCCCACCCGCAAGGAAAGCATTAACATGGAAAGAAAATTTTTCATGTTTTTCTGATTTTCTTTTCTGATGAAACTATTCTCCTGAAAAACGGTACTGGTAACAAGAATCAACATAAACATATAATATACATCATTTTGCTTCATACTACCGCAATGTTTAGGAGAATATTATCTCAACTGTAAAAGAACAGATAAAAGGGCAGGAAAAACGCAAATGTTAACGAAGTGGAATTGCTGGTGGTCTTTCAATAATCATTCATTTAACAAGCAAAGGCTGCCCTTGCTGAAGGGGTGCCATGGACCCCGCCGTCCGCGGATCCCAGCGTAGTGGGCCCCCTGCCCAACCCGTGGGCACCGCCGCCCGTCCGTGGACTCCACACCCGGCCTCGTGGATCCCCGCCATCCTTGCGCGGACCCCAGTCGGGTAGGCCCCACCCCGTTCCCTGCCCTTCCCTACCGTGAGTGAACCGCCCCCATCCCTTTCCCCCCTCCCCCCGCCCCCGCACCAGGGACTCCGTACTTGGTTTTCGAGGCAAATTTCTTGAGCAGGTTCTTGCCACAGGAGACCGGGGAGCCATGCAGGTCTCGGACACCGCCAGGAAGAAGCCCCGCCTTGCGGCCGCCGAATACCGTCCAGAGCCCCGCAGGGTATCCCCACAGCCCGCGGGCCGCCACCCACATAGCCCCCGAGAGAGCCCTGGGGCAG